CTCCCTGAGCTGTCCCCTGTCCCTCCCTGAGCTGTCCCCTGTCCCCCCTGAGCTGTCCCCATCCCCAGACGTGGTGTTCCGTGTGGATGACGGGCTGGTGCCGGCGCACAAGCCGCTGCTCATCGCTGGCTGTGACTGGATGAGGGCCATGTTCCGGGGGGGCTTCCGCGAGAGCTACGCCCAAGAGGTGGGGGCTGGGGGGGCTGGGGGGGGCTGGGGGGACCCACTGGCTCTGCCACGGGGCTGCTGGAAGGGTGGGTGTCTTTGGGTGGGGTCTGGGGGCTGCTCAGACCCCAGTCCAAGCCCTGACACAGCTGGGTCCTGCTTCCCTTCTGCTGGGGAGAAAGAGGGGGGCTCTGCTGGGTCAGGGAGTTCTGTGCTGGGCCTGGGGGGATTATTCCAGGGCTGGGGGGGCTCTGCTGGATTGGGGGGGGGCTGTGCCAGGGCTGGGGGGGCTACGTTGGGGCTGGGGGAGCTGTTCTGGGTGAGGGGGATGGCATCAGGGCTGGGGGCCTGTGCCAGACAGGGCACTCTGTGCCAGAGTTGTGGAGGGGCTGTGCTGGGTCGGGGGGCTGTGCCGGGGCTGAGGGGGCTGTGCTGGGTCAGGAGGGGCTGTGCCAGAGTTGTGGAGGGGCTGTGCTGGGTCGGGGGGTCTGTGCCAGGTCAGGCACTGCCAGGAGGGTCCCTCCTTGCCCCGGCCCCCCCCCGGGGGCGGCTCCAGCCCCGCCAAACCCGTCCGTGGTGCCGCAGGTATCCCTGCCCGGCACCAACTGCGCCTGCCTCCGCGCCGTGCTCGACTTCCTCTACACGGGGGTCTTCACCCCCACGCCCGACCTGGACGCCATGGAGCTGCTGATCCTGACGGACCGGCTGTGCCTGCCGCGGCTGCAGGCGCTCACCGGTGAGACCCCCCGGCCCCCGGGACCCCCCCCCGCCCCCGGCCCGCCGTGTCCCCTGACGTCACCCGCCAATACCCTGCCAATACCCTGCCAATACCCTGCCGGTGCCGTGGGGGCGGATCGATCGTCCCTGCGTGTCATTCCCTGCCCTTACGCAATCCCGGGGGGGGAGCCTGGCTCATCCCGGGGGGCACATCCCCGGTGAGTGACCCCCCCCCCTCCCCGACCCGCTGCCCCCCCAGAGCAATACGCCGTGGACGAGCTGCTCCGAGCCTTCATGCAGCGCGTGGAGATCGACGAGCAGGTCATCATCTACCTGGAGATGACGCAGGTACGGGGGGCTGGGGGGCACGGAGACCCCCGGGAGGGGGGCACGGGGACCCCCGGGGATTGCGGGCAGTGGGGTGACCCCCTGTACCCCCCCCCCAGTTCCACAACGCCCACCAGTTGGCCGCGTGGTGCCTGCACTACATCTGCACCAACTACAACCGCGTGTGCCGCCGCTTCCCCCGCGAGATGAAGTTCATGTCCCCAGGTACGGGGGGGGCCGAGGGGCTGCGGGGGGGGCTCGGGGAGGGGTGTCCCTGCCGTGCCCTAAGCCCCCCGGGCTGCCCCCGCAGAGAACCAGGCGCACTTCGAGCGGCACCGCTGGCCCCCGGTGTGGTACCTGAAGGAGGAGGATCTGTACCTGCGCTCCAAGAAGGAGCGGGAGCGCGAGGAGCAGCTCCAGCGCAAGCAGCACCCCCGCAGCAAGTGGTGCTTCTGGCGGCCCTCGCCCCCCGTGTCCTGAGCTGGGGACGAGGGGCTGGGACCCCCCGCGTGGGGCTGGGGGGCTTGGCTGGACTGGGAGCCCCTGCGTGGGGCTGGGGGGCTCGGCCGGGCTGGGGGTCCCCGTGTTGGGCTGAGGGGCTCGAGGCTGGGACCCCCACATGGAGCTGGGGGGGCTTGGATGGGCTGGGGGTCCCTGTGCTGAGCTGAGGGGCTCGAGGCTGGGACCCCCACACTGGGCAGGGGAGCTCAGCTGGGCTGGGGGTCCCTGTTCTAACTGAGGGGCTTGGGGCTGGGGCTCCCGTGCTGGGCTGGGGGGCTTGGCTGGGCTGGGGCTCCCACGCTGGCCTGGGGGTCCCTGTGCTGGGCTGGGGGGCTTGGCTGGGCTGGGGCTCCCATGCTGGGCTGGGGGTCCCTGTGCTGGGCTGTGCAGCTCAGGCTCGGGACCCCCACGCTGGGATGGGGGGGCTCAGCCCCAGGGACTCCACACAGAACTGAAGGGCTGGGCCCTGTGACCCCCACCCTGGGCCGGGGGGCTTGGCCAGCCCTCCCCGAGGGCCTGTTTCCCTGCCTCACCCTGGCTGTTTACAGGCTCTGCTGGGGCACAGCCCCCTGCCCACCGTGCCTTCCCCCGGGGGGGCCGTGCTGAGCCCCCCGGCAGGGCCCCCCCCCGGCCAACGCTGGTGCTACCTCTGACCGAGCAGTATTTGGGGCTGGGGGCGTGCAGGGAGCGGGGGCTCTGCCGCCCCCCCACCTTTCTTGAGGGCTTCTCCCCCCGCAGGGCTCTCTGGTGCTGTATTTTCTCCCCCCCAGGGGGTGGGGGGGGCCAAGCTGTGAGCAGGGGTGGGGTGGGGGGTGGGCGTGGGGGGGTCCCTGGGTGCTTGTGTGGCTGCGAGAGCCCCCGGCTCATCTCTGTGCCTTGGACGGGCCCCCGGGCTCTGGGCCCAGGGAGGGGGGACATTGTCCCTGTCCCTGGGCTGTGTCCCCCTGGATGGGGGTGGCACCGTCCAACCCCTCCGGGCTGAACTGCACAACCATTTTTACACTTTTTTACCCCAGGAGCACAGCGGCCCCCGGGCCTTCCAGGGCCCCCCTGGCCTGGAGTGGGCCCCCCTGGCCCGGAGTGGGCCCCCCCGCCTCAGCAGCAGCTGTTTTAACCTTTAATAAAGCTTTTTGTAACAGACCCCGACTCTGGGTGACCCCATCCCGCTCTGCCCCCCAAACCCTTCTGGGGTGGGAGCCCCCCCCGCAGGAAGGAGCAACACTGGGGGGGCTTCATTGGGGTGTGTTTATTGGGGGGGATACAAAGTACATGAGGGTTGGGAACAGGAATGGGGGGGGCTGACCCACACTTGGGGGTGCAGCTCATGGGTTGGGGGAGACACAAGTGGGACAGACGGGGGGGGTCATTTACTGGGGGGGCAGATCCCTGTCCATGGCAGGAGTGGCTGGGGGGGGCAGGCTGGGGGCTCCCCTTATCATGGCCTGTCCCAGGCCGAGCCCCCCCTTGTCTCTGTGTCCTCCCCACGGCCTCACAAGGCCCTGGGAGCAGAGCCTGGGGTCACGGCAGCTCCCACGGGGGGGCTGGGGCAGGGCAGCCCCCCGGGGGGGTCAGGGGCAGCCGGGGGGACCTGAGGACGTCCCTGAGGTACTGCTGCAGCTGCTGCTGCAGTTTCCAGCCCCGCAGCACAGCTGGGGCCTCGCACATCTGGCCAGCGGCCGTGGGGCTGTGGGGTCCCAAGGGGGTGTGGGTTCCCACGGGAGCTTGGGGTCCCATGAGGCTGTGGGGTCGTGAGGTCCTAGAAGAGGCTGGGGTCCCACAGGGCTGTGAGGTCCCACGGGGGTGTGGGGTCTCCCAGACTCCCCACTGCTCCCCCACTTCCTCCCATCCCGGTCCTGTGTGACCGGAGTTCTTAGGGCCGGCGGGAGCTGCCCCATGGCTGGGCCGGGCTCAGGGCTGGGCTGAGCTCAGGGCTGGGCCAGGCTCAGGGCTGGGCCAGGCTCAGGGCTCTCCTGGCCGGGGGCAGAGCAGCAGGTAGCACAGGTTTCCCGGGATCCTCCCGTCTGGGCCGAGCCCGTTCCCAGCCACGCCGCCCTCTGGGAAGGGTGGGGGGCCACGGGAGGATCCCAGGACCTGGAGGGGGGGGATCAGGGGAGTATCTCGGGGATCCCCTCGATGGGGTGGCTCCAGAGCAGCTCCGGCCCTCGGGAGGGCTTTGGGCACGGGGGGATCCGGCCCAGCTCCCCCCTCACATCCCCTGGGAGCTGGAGGGGGGTCTGTGCTCACCGCTCGCCCGCGGTGCTGGATCGGCCCGACGTTCATGGCATTCCCGGTGTTCCCGGCGTTCCCGGCTCAGGCCGGGCCGTAGCAGAGGATCTCGCTCAGGTCGTAGCCGGTGACAGCGAAGGTGTCCCCGGCGGGGTCACAGAACCGGGCACCGCAGACCTGCGTGTCCGTCACGCACTCGGCGTGGCAGTGCCGGATCTGCGCGGGAGCGGGGCCGGAGCAACGCTGGGACGGGGCAGCCACGGCTCCCGGGGACACGGCCCAGGCCCCGGGGAGCAGACGTGGCTCCGAGGGCCTCATCCCCGTCCCACCTCGACATCGTCCGTGTCCGGGTCCCTGCTGAGCTTCCAGACATGGACAAAGGAATCCTCTGCGCCCGACAGCAGCTGCGGGGGGAGCGCAGGGACCGTGGGGACACCGCGGAGGGGGCAGCGCCAGGGCCAGGGCGGGACACTGGGGTGGGATCCCAGCTGGGATTCCAGGGTGGGATTCCAGGTGGGATTCCTGGGTGGAATGCTAGGGTGGGATGCCAGTGGGATTCCAGGGTAAAGCCAGCTTGGCATGCAGGTGGGATGCCAGTGTGGGATGCTGGGGTGTGACGCCGGGTGTGATTCAGTGTGTGACACCCTGACCCCTCTGTACCTTTCCGGTGAGCGGTGCCAGGTCCAGGGCGTAGATCCAGCGGGCGTGGGCGCTCACCTGGGCACGGAGCTGCCCCGACCCTGCCTCCCACAGCCGGATCTGCCCGTTCCCGTAGCCCGCGGCCACGATCCCGTTCCACAGCGTCACCGAGGAGCACGTGCAGCTGGGGGGACAGGGGCTCGTGTCACCTCCTGCCCGGGGTCCCCCCGGTCACCCTCCTGTGTGTCCGACGCCCCGCAGGACCCCCGGGGCTCACCCAGATCCCGGGATCTTCCCGAGCAGGGTGAAATCCTCCCCGGTGCTCCACAGGCAGAGGGTCCCGGAGTCGTCAGCTGTCACCAGGTCCCCAGATGCCTCCTGTGAAAGAGATGGCTCAGGACGGGCCCTGGCACTGCCCCTGGCTCCGGGGCTGCCCCCCAGGCCCCGGGAGGAGCTGACACAGCTCCCAAAGTGCTGAGGGATCCACCCGAGTGGGGCCGGGAGTGCCCGCAGCGGCTCCGTTGGAACACGTCCCTGTTTGCCCACGCGGCCACACCAAGGGCGGATTTCGAGGAACAATGAGGGCACCCCTCCCTCTGGGATGAGTCTCGGCTCCTCCCAGCCCCGGGAATCCCACACCCTGGCCCCGGGAGCCTCCGGAACCCGTGGAGCAAAGTCCAGGGGGGCGTGTGAGGGGACGGTGACACAACGGCTCCGTGTCCCCACGGTGACACAACAGCTCTGGGAACCGGTTCTGGGGAGGAATTCCTTGGGGATCCCAGCGCAGGGAAAGTTCCGTGTGACTCATCAGGGAAAGTGCTGAGCAGCCTCTGTGCAGGGAGGAGGCTGATGAGCGTCTGCAGGGACCCAGCCCCGGCAGCTTCCAGTGCCTAACGGAGATCCAGGAGAGCTGGGAGGGACTTTGGACAAGGGATGGAGGGACAGGACAAGGGGGAATGGCTTCCCACTGAAAAAGGGGCGATTTGGTGGGACTTTGGGAAGAAACCCTTCCCTGTGAGGGTGGTGAGGCCCTGGCACAGGTTGCCCAGAGAAGCTGTGGCTGCCTCATCCCTGGATGTGTCCAAGGTCAGGTTGGACAGGGCTTGGAGCAACCTGGGCTGGTGGGAGGTGTCCCTGCCCATGGCAGGGAGTGGGATTGATGGCATTTAGGGCCCCCCACCCTCCCCTTACCGGGGCCTGGCCCTGCTCGGCCGCGATGTCGGTGATGGGATCCCGGTGCTGCTCCAGGACCTCGCTCAGGGTCACGTTGGTGCCTTTGGGGGGGATGTCAAACACCAGCACGGCCCCCGAGGACGTCCCTGCGGGTCAGGGGGTCAGCAGGGCTCGGCCCTGCCGGGCTCCCTCCCCTGCCCACGCCCAGCCCAGCTCACCCACGCAGATGAAGCGCTCCCCGGCCGCCGAGATGCCTCGGGCAAACACGGAATGTGCTGGAAGGGAAGGGTTTGTGTCACCCCTGGGGGACCCCAGGGCGGGGACCGAACCCTGTGCCAGGCACTGGGGGGTCACTCCCCAACCCTGGGGCAGGTTTGGGCACCTCACAAGACATTGAGGGGCTGGAGCGTGTCCAGGGCAGGAGCTGGGAAGGGGCTGGAGCAGCAGGAGAGGCTGAGGGAGCTGGGGGGGCTCAGCCTGGAGAAAAGGAGGCTCAGGGGGGACCTTCTGGCTCTGCAACCCCCTGACAGGAGGGGGGGGCGGGGGGGGGGGTGGGCTCTGCTCCCAGGGAACAAGGGACAGGAGGAGAGGGAACGGCCTCAGGCTGTGCCAGGGGAGGCTCAGGTTGGATATTGGGAAAATTCCTCCTGGAAAGGGCTGTCTGGCCCTGGCACAGCTGCCCAGGGCAGGGGGGGATTTAACACCCTGTGGCTGTGGCACTTGGGGCATGGCCAGGTGTGTCCCTGGCAGTGCTGGGGGGCTCGGGGCACTCACCTGCCGGGTGCTCCGGGATGTCCAGCGCGTGCCAGAACACCAGGGTGGAGCCGTCGGCCTCGTACATCTGGTACAGGGGGGACAGGGGGGGAACCGGGGGGGGACAGCCCTGGGGGGGGGCAGGGACCCCCCCGAGCCCCCCCAGCCCTCACCTGGACACCGCGTTGGGACGTGAGGACCAGGAGCACCCGGGCTGGCAGCTCGCACCAGGCGGCCTGGGGGGGACAGAGCGGGGCGGGAGGGAGGCAGGGGCAGGAACCCCACACCCTCCTGCTGGGATCCCCCAAAACCTTCCACCAGGGGCAGGACCCCCCTCTGCTCTCCTGGGGCCCCCCCAGACCTCGCTCCTGGGGGAGGGCCCGGCCACAGCCCCCCAGGGCCAGGTGTATTTGGGGATCCCACAGGTGGGCACCTGTCAGCCTTGGGGACCCCCACAGTGCCCCACAAACCCCCCAAGGGGCTGCT